CCCCGCCGCGTCACCGTGTCCGCGCGTGAGTCGGCGGTACAGCTGCATTGGCGAGGCATCCGTCCCCACCAGCGGCGCCGTAAGCGGGTCAGCGCGCGTGAACCACGGTCGTTGGTCCGCCAGAAGGCCGCAGCATTCTTGGTCGATGGCGCGGGGGCCCGTCAAAGCGCGCCGCCGCGCCGCCTCCGCGACGGCTGAGCCGAGAAACGGGAACGACAGCCGCACCGGGGTGCCACCCGCACGCCACACGTACGATGCCGCTGCAAGCTCCTCGCACATCGGACACGCACTGCCCCACGCGCAGTACACCTCGAAGTAGGGAATATCACTCACACCCACTGCCGCCGTGCCACTGCTGCCACCACCACCACCACAAGCAGCGGTGGGTGACGGGAAAGCGGACGTCACCGACAGCGTCGCCGTCAGAGGCGTCTCGGGTGTGTCCTCAGCATTGATGAAGGGCGTGCCAAGCCCATTGGCGCTTCCACCACCGCCCGCAGCAGACATCCGCAGGCCTTCCTGCAGCATTACTCCAATCAAAGACGCGGGCGCGACGGTCGTGTTCGTCTTGGGTTTATCCAACGGTCGTTCCTGTGGACTGAGTGTGTAACTCCTTGTCAATGTCGTGTCTTTGCGTCGCCTTTCATTCGACCGGCGCGAGAGGCCTGCGATGGGGAGGAGGTCGCCATGCGTAAACACCACCGTTAATTCGGCATCTACCGCCAGTGCACCACTCAAGCGAAGAAACTCCACCGCTTCCACGGCGAGAACATCACCGTCAGCAACAAGGTTCTGCTCCTCAGCAGCAGTTACGACGGCAGTAATGCTGCTATTGCTGGTAGAGGCCTCGTGTGCTAAACTTCCCTCTGCGCTGACCCATCCCGCACGTATGGCGCTGTTGGTACTGATTGATGGCACCTGTTGTTGCTGTTGCTGCTTTGTCGATTGACGCAACTGACTCGCCTCTGCAAAGGACCGCTCCAACGCACGGTACAACTCACCGATGCGCCACGGAAGAGAGAGCGAGCTAAGCGCTGTTCGAATGGCGGCGAGTGGAAGCAGCTGCGACGCACGCCGACCAACTCCCTCTGCATATGGTTTCGACAAGCGCTCAACAAAACCTGGATCCTCAAGCGTCACAATGTAGTTTGGGTTCTGCTTCACGTAGGCGGAGGAGAGCGACGGTGGGGTGCCTCGACGCCCCAAGATTGTGGTGAGCGGCAGGCTGAATAGCCCATGCACCACGAGCTCCGTTGCACTGCCCACGCTCGACCTCAGGTTTACATTGCTGTTGCCGGTGGAGGTGGTGGCACCGCTTCCCCCACGCCGAGGAGCCATCGGGAGAGGTCCACAAGTTGGAGACCGCACACCCATCAAGGTAACGATGCCGTCGTCGTTGTAAGGCCGCTCACCGGTCATTATGTGCTCTGCAAGCAGCATGATCTCCCTACACAGCGACAGCTGAGGGTACTGCAGCAACTTTTTGAACATCTCCGCAGCAGGAGGACGACACCCACCAGCAACAACTCCACCACCACTACCACCACCAGCAGTGTTACCACTGCTGCCGGTACCATCGTCCCCACCGCCCACCTCCCACGCACACAGCCGCTGCTCCATCCGAAGCACCTGTCCTGTCACATACTGCGAACGCAGCTCCTCTCGGACGAGGACGTTCATGAAGGCCTGTACAAACATTGCTGTGGCGCCGTTCTCACGGTCGGGCTGCTGCATGGCAACAACCAATACGACGTCAAGCGTGCGGTGCGCCACCGCCACCCCGTCCGACCTCTGTGACGCACCACTCTTCACCTCGTCGTCATCCTCATCCTCATCGGCGTCGCGAGAACGCCACGACTCGGATGGCTGCAGCCGCTGCGACTTGACGGAGTTGGGTAGAAGCGGATAGATAAGGAACGTGCCACCGGCAAACTGAATCGTCGTGCACATCGAGAAGCTCGCACGAAGAAGATGCAACAGCACAGTGGTTTGGAGCCCAACGCATGTTTCAGCACCTCCCTGGGCGGCGTTTTTAGCGCCACGACTGTCATTGCCATTGCTGTTGGTGGTGGTGCCGCCCCGACCACGGTGCACGACTGGTGGTGGTGGTGGTGGTGGTAAGGGTGCTGCTGCTGCTATTGTTGTTGCAGGCGAAGAGGTCAACGGTGCGATTCGCGTTGGCCGTGGTGCGTCTCCCTCCCCATCCAAGGAGAGTCTAGAGTCCACATTGGAAAGCTGCGATCTTTTCCCTATACGGGGTTTGTGCCGCACCCCCACGCCAGCAGGTGTCTGCTGCTGTTGCGTTTCCTTTTGGGGTGACACAGTGGGACCGCATGCCGCCACAGGGTCGGGGTTCCCATTCGCTTTTGCGTGTCCGCTTCGTGACGGAGACGAGGGCGCAGCAGTGGGTGCATTCGTCGTGCTGCTGCTGTTGCTGTTGCTATTGCTGACATCGATGGTAAAGGGGTTGTGCGGCGGGTAGCGGAACAGAAGCTTCTCCTGTGCGAAGAGAAAGATAACGACCGGCCGTTTCGGCATTGCGATACGGCTTCCCTACTGCTCAGCCGCACTAGAGAGTGGGGTGGGAAGCAATTAGAAAACGAGAGGAACTAGCAACACCAGCTGTAGCGAGAAGGCAGCAACGCCAACAGCAACAACTCCGTGGCCGTGGCGCGGCACACACACACACACAGACACACATACCACAACATAAAAAAGGGGCCACGACAAGACTCAACACCAACAACAGCCGCGACAGGTCCTAGCACACCACAGCCTCGCAGCCACATGCACACACCTCACGGGTGTTCCTCCGCCATCTTCTCCTTCAGGCGCGCCAGCACCTCCTCCGGCTGTCTTGTGCTCATGTGCAGCCACTCCGCCAGTGTGTCCGTCACCTCCTTAAACCGCCGCGTCTGCTCCGCGAGTTTCTTCAGCTGTGCGACCAACATGTCGGTCTTCTCACGGCGCTCCTGCTGCGCGGCACGCTCCTCCGCGAGCGCGCGCTCGGTGCGCCGCATTGCCTGCCCCTGCTCCTCCGTCTTGTTGCGCCACTGCTCCACTGCCGTGCGGTGCTCGGTCTCCGCCTGCCGCTGGGCGTGCAGCACCCGTTGCATCTCGCTGTTCTTGCTGTTGAGCAGCTGCCGCAGGCCGCTGAGGTGCCGCTGCTGCTCGTTGCGGAGGGCCTCCCACTGCCGCCGCTCCTTGCGATGTGCAGCACGCTCCGCCAGCAGACGCGCACGCACGACTGACACGTCCACACCGTCGACAACAACATCGTCGTCGTCGTCGCTGCTGCTGCCATTGTTGTTGTCCTTGTCGGTGCCTTCCCCAAGAGC